CTAGGCCGTAACAGCATGTTTTGTCTCAGCACCACTTGCATTTCCCTCTCAGTATTATCTTAGCCCAGAGAATGCCTTCCTTTTTTCTGTCCTTCATCTGACAACTCCCCGTCACCTGGGCAGACTACGGTACAGACTGCTTGCTTCCTCCTACAGTGTGCACATACACAGTATGCACACCTTTAGGCATGCTGCTCTCCCCATGAGTGCTGGGGGAAAGTAGGAAAAGAAAGACCTTGCTTACAAAAACACACACACTACGGTTGACACTACTCCATCTCATGAAGAACAAAGGAAAACACACATAGCAACTTTTGACTCAGGAAAGGGCACAGAGGACAAGCAGTCATTATCCTTGATTAATTAGCCAACAGGGGCAGAAAAAGACTACTCCGTGAAACAACAATATGTTACAGCTCCTCATTAGAAAGCATTCTTGACTTTGAAACCAAGTTTCAGGACAGTAGAAGGGTACATGTGGCTATGGCTTCAGGACTTCCTCAGACACTAGATAAGAAGTATCCATGCACAGGGGCACACAAGAAACTGAACATAGTTGCACTGGAACAGGTTGCCCAAGGAGGCTGTGGATGCCCCATCCCTGGAGGCACTCGAGGCCACGCTGGATGTGGCTCTGGGCAGCTTGGTCCGGTGGCTGGCAACCTGCACACAGCAGGGGGGCTGAAACTAGACGATCACTACGGTCCTGTTCAACCCAGGCCATTCTATGATTCTATGAAACACTAACAGGTGAAAGAATTCAAAAGGTTCCTACCAAAACTATGCCATAAGACGTCAACTGATGTCATTATAAAATTCTCTGCCTTTTACGGTTGATGGTTTGGGTTCTCTGTTGTCTCTATGGTTTCAGGGGTTACAGGAGTGTTACAAGAAACGAGGAGCTGGACTACATGAACTTCCAGGCTTCTGCTGTGATGCCTCACAAATACAAGGCTGCAAAACTAGTGCTTTGGTGCACGCATGCACATGGCGTGCACTTGTTTGGCTCACGTGATCAGAGGAACTGAAGCCACACAGGAAGCCCGTGTCTATTTGGAGAGCCAGGAAGCAAGGCAGTCAAGATTCCAGGCTCTGACATCACGTTTAAGCCTCTCTAGGTGATAGCCTTTTCAGGGCAACTCAGCTCCACAAGAAGCAGTGGCAAAAGGCAACTATCTCAGGCTATATGAATCCAGCAACAAGATTGTTCATTGGCATGCACCTACTTTTAGCACACCTTATGATCTAGGATCAGTCTAGCACTAATCAAGCAAAACTTACTTTCATGTTCTTCATGCACAGCTAAGTGCACACCATCCACACGGGACTGGATATCATTCCACGTGATAAACTCATTTTCTTCTGCACGCATCTGAGCCTTCAGCTTCATCACATCATCCACACATCTGTCTAAGAACAAAAATCAAAACCAGCAAGTATCACGTCATGAAAAACTGGCCAGGGAACACACAAGACAGCAATGAGAACTAAACACAAAATGGAAGAAGTAACACAAGGGTTAAAACTGACATACACGAAAGAAAGAAGGAATAGGAAAAAGACAAAAGACCGTGAGCAAGGTGGTCAGCTCCAGTGCAAAGCAATCAAGAAAAGCACTGAAACACCACATGACACTTTCAGACAAAAAACACAGGGCAGGAGCTGGCCTGGTGCAATTGAGAACCTCGAAGGGCCACAACATAGCTTTGTTGTGAAACCTTGATAAAGGTCTGAGAGACGGCACTCAGAGCAGATTAGTAAGAAACGGGGAAGGCAAAGACAAGGTGCAAGAACCGAGAGAGAATAAATTAATATTGGAGTAAGCAGGGAAAGAACCTGAAGTGTAAGGGGAAGAAAAGAAAACCGAACCTCTTGGGAATGTAAGCAATATCAAAGACGGACAGGAACCTTCAAAACACTCACCTCTGACAGTTCTCATCCTCAGTGTTTGTCAGCCCTGGGACAGCATTGCTCAGTTGTCTCCATACTGCACTCACATCCCCTGAACCCAAAGCCCTGATCATCACAGCCACAGAAGAGAGCATCTCTACAGCAACAGATAATTCTGCATGGCTGAGGTTACCCTGCATACAAAGGGGAATACAGATCAATTACACTTGCTCTGCAAAACTACTGCTAGAGCACCAAGAGATTCAAACAGAATCTCACAGTGCCGAGTAGCTCAAGACTTCAAGATGAAGCATCCCGTCAGAACAGACTAAGCATCAAGGCAGTTCTACCAACACTCAAGACAGGCACGTTTAGTGAAACAGACAAGGCAGATTTGGTGATCCATATCAATTCACAGACATCAGAAGGCATTACTGACATCATGGCTTTGTTGCTGCAAGGCGGCCAGCTCCTTGGGATAAAGATCGGCAGCAAATGCATAAACCTCTGCTAGCTGGGCCTCTGGCTTCATCATTTCTGCCACAGTCTTCTCTGCATCACCCATTCTAATTGCTGCATTAGTTCTGCTCGCTGCTGCCAGCCCCAGCAGTTTGAAGAGGCAGCACATCAAAGAGGCAGCATGACAACAACGGCAGCAGACAGTTGGGCTCCCAGTCATGCAAGCACTTGTACTGCATTCAATAGTAAGAACCTAACCTAAAAAAAACAACTTCATTCCCTTATAGGTTTTCCAATCAGTTATTTACCCAACTAGTCCTGCATTACTGTAAACAACCAGACTACATAAGGCCCTCTTTAAAGTAAGACTCATTTGTAAACCAGTTTACCTGTTGTCTGATTATCAGAGGACTGTCTCACCAACTTCTGCCAAGAAGAAGCCTCAAAACTGTCCATGTTTTCCATCGGTAGTTCATCACAGCTTTTCCTTCCAGTATCTATGACTGGTCGGGGCAGTACCAGGCATTCTACAGTGTTCTCTACACCCTACAGTGCTTGCACTTGAACACAGCACCAATGGGAAAATAAACATCAAGCAGCACGGAGAACCAGGAAGGCACTTGGAAGGCAACCTCCTAGTTCCTACACCTGCACCATCTCCCTCTTGTCATTTCAACCACCTGTAACCAGATCCCTATCAGCTTTCTTTTCATGTGTTCTAAATCGAACTAATTGCTATGGTACAGCCAGAATTAAACACTGAAAGCTTCTGGAACTTTCTCCACAAGAGAGTTTTGCATGGTGTCAGAAGCACCTGAGTAAAAAAAATCCAGCCACTGTGATCTACGTTTTATTTGCTATCTGATACCTAGAAACAGCCATGACAAAACAAGCTGAAAGTTCCATAGCTCAAATCAAGTAAGCCTTATGTCAGTAGTCAACAGGTCAGCTAGTTTTAACACCTCACGGAGCAACCCAGATTTCTGTCACAGTCCATGGAACAAAATTTAACACAAACTGCCTAGGAAAAGAATTATTGAAGGCAGACACAAGTCCCATGCTGCTCCGCATTTCATCTCATCTGCTGTTATCTCAAGCAGTATTTTGAAGAGCTCGACAGAAGACAGAGCCAGCTGTCAGGATTCTTTTCCATGTTCCCGTAGCCTAAAACTACTTGAAGAACATCCACGACAGTCTGACATAGCCCTGCTATAACCTCATGTGAACACAAACACTGCGCTTTCCCATCCTGCTGATCACACCCCACAGCAACAACAACATCAGCTCATTCAGTGCAAATAGCTGCGGGCCCCAGGCCTGGATGCAGCGCTGCACATGAGGCCTCAAAGGAGCTGAGTCGATGGGGACAATCACCTCCCTCTCCCTGCTGGTCACCCCTTTTGCAATGCAGCCCAGAACAGAGGCTTCATTTTTTATACAAATCCACATACCCACGCCTACAGTCCCCCCACAATGCACTACAGCTTCATATTCCTTCCTCCCTACAGCTCCCAACAGCCCCCAATAGTCCCCTATGACCCTATGGCCCACCACAGCCCCCTATCTCCCTATACACCACCCTTAGAGCCCCGTATCTGACTCTCACCCCCAACAGCTCCCCATAACCCCTACATCCCCTCACAGGCGCCTACAGCCTCACATCTCGCTATATCCCTCCCCCCCCCCCCGCCACCCGTCGCCTCCCCGCAGCTTCCTAGAGCCCCCACAGCCCCTCTCCCCGCCCCGGCACCGCTCTCCCGCTCACCTCCGGCACAGCTGTCCTCAGCACTCGCTCCCGAGCTGCCGCGGCTTCTCTCTCGGTGCCGCCCGGACAGCTCCGGCTGCCGCCGCGGTCTCCTACGGGGCGGCACAGGCGGCTGCAGCGGCGCTCTGCGACGAGAGCCGCGCCTCCAACAGCCGGCCCCCAACGTTCGCTCCCGCGCACGGCGCCTCAGCCAATGGCAGCCGGCGGCGCTGCCGCGGACCGACGAGAGCCCGGGGGTGGAGCGGCGCTGCCGCGGACCAATGACAGACCGGGGGGCGGGGCGGCTGCTGGTCAGGGTGAGCTCCTCGTGCCTCAGCGCGGTGCTGGCAGATGTGGAGATGATCTGCATGGCCAGCTTGTAAGTGGGAGCCAGGAGCCAACGCAGCTGCAGGAGCAAGGTGCTAGGGAGCAGCCAAGGTGTCAAAACGCATCCAAAAGCCCTGGAAAGCATCACAAAGCCACAGCCAGGAAGCTTGCGTGATATGGTTTAGTGCTAGTGGTGGCAATGGTGATGAGGAGACGGTTGGACTGGATGATCTTAGAGGTCGTTTCCAACCTTGTGTGATTCTTGATTCTTGGGATTATCATTAGCCATATCCAGAATGCTAGAGATTGTCAGCTGCCACACCAAATCGTAGGCAGAGCTCTCGCTGCAGACAAAGCAGGAACAAACGAGAAGCTCTGCTGCACGCACTCCACAGCCATCACGTTGCAAGCTGAGGTGCCTTACTGTGTGTTGCATTCATCCCAGTCTCCTTGAATGAAGACTCCACAGGCACTCAAGGTGTTGAGTGAGTATAAGTGTGCTTTTATTAGTAAAGGAAAAGACAGGAGGGCGTGAGAGGTCCAGGTAAAGATGGAAATCGTCCTCTCTTGGGTGGAAAGCTCATGGACAGAGTGGCTCAGCGCTGTCAGTGTTGACGTCCGGTGCCTGGGACTGGAGGCCTGATTCTAAGCCCCCCTCCAAAAGGCTCTGCTGCTCCTCGCTGATGCTGACCTTCTCCTCAAAGGCGGTGCTGCTGTCGGAGCACTCGGGCTCTGCTTGGGCTGGGCTGCACTGCAGAGGCACCGGGTCACAGTCCAGGCTGATGCCTGTGGTGTCTGGCAGGCTCAGGTCAGCATCTTCAGCACAGCCGGGAGAAATGAGGGCTTCAACTTGGATGAGCTCCTCGTGTCCATCACTGTTGTTATGCGGCAGGCTGTCAGCTGAACCGCAGCCATTTGTGCTTCCCAAGAGCTCTCCATTGGTGGAAGCACACAGCCCAGCATTGCTACTTGTTCTGGCACATCTGGGTTGACAAGAGCTCGAATCACCTATAAAAGAATGAACAGGGGTTGGTGTCCAACTCTCACAAGCTGAATTACAAACGTGGTTCTTGATCAGGGGAGATCTGAAGGTGCTAGGTATGGGCTGGATAGCTAGAAGGAGATACAAGCCCACTGCCAGCAAGAATTCTACGTTGCTGAGAAGCAGGGTGTTGAAAGCTGGATTTGCACCCTTACCTGCCAGCACTACAACGTCTGTCTCTGAGGGCTCCCTGGGATGGTGCTGCCGTTGGTCTTTGGCCACAGAGGATGGTTTCCCCAGGCTGAAGCAGGAACAGCAACAGCCAGATGGTGATTCCTTCATCCTGCTGGGTGCACTTGGTCTGGAGAGAGGAAACAGGGAATGGTGTGAGTTGTGCGTGGAACTCCAAAAGCATCTCTGACTCTGACAGCTCATCGGCCCCATCTCACTGCCATGTCTAGTTTCTCGTGCCAGCAGGTCTGACAAACAGCTCTGCTTCGAGGAGAATCGGAATTGGATTCAGGCACGTGGCCCTGAAGTCCAGAAAACCCCAACGTTTCCAGGTACAGCCAGCACAGGCCAGGACAGACGTCAGCGTGGCTTCATGCAGCTCGTGACTGCCTGCCCAGCAAGGAGGGAATGCCAGCCTTGTGTGGCTCAACTCAGCCCGGCGGGCAACTGAATGTGAGTTCTGTCTCACAGTGCAAAGGGAGTGGAGATTCACTGCAACACTTCAGGCACCATCAGTTTAACTGAGTTTCAGCAAGCTTTGGCTCTAGAAATAATGGGGGGGGAAAACAACACAAAAAGAAACCACAAAAACCCACCCAAACAATGATGAGAAGGTACTGGAAAAGGAAGTCCTCTTTACCTTTCAGATGGAAAGTCGATGATGGTGTGGAATTTGCCCCGTACAGCTTTGGGGCCTTCTTCCACCTCTATGTCCCTGCTCACTATCACAGCAACAGGAGAGCTGCTGTGGCCTCGCCTCCGTGCCTGCGCCTCCTCCAGGCTGAGCAGCTCTGTGGCAGGAGAAGACGCCTGCACAGACTGGGGCCCTGAGAGAGAACTGTGCCCTGGAAGGGAAAACCACAGGTGAGAGCCAGGATCAGAAAGCGGCAGCACAGCCATCGCAGGTCCGGGAGCTGCTGTGTTTCTCTCAGATTTGCTTATCCGAGCCGCTGCAAGAAGAGCAGCTCAAAACAACCATGTGCTCAGAGGTGTGTCTATGGCAAAGGATGCAGTCATAATTAGGAGCAGCTCCCTGTATCGAAACAGGCAAACACAATCCCTAGAAAATGGGGGCAGGGAACTGAGAAAGCTTCGCTGCCACACTTTCACCAAGCTTCACCAGATTTCTCCTTGTCACGTTTGGGCTTGCACATTCTCAGCATCCAGCAACTGGACGCCAGATTCCAATCTAAGCCCAGAAGTCTGCTGTCCCCTCGATAGTAAAAGAGGATTTCAAAGGACTTGGAGAAGGCCTGCATTTGATCCAGGTGTCTGAACAAGATGAAGCTAATGGAGGAAGACACTCACCTGCTCCATCTGCGATGTCAGGTCCAGATGTGGAGCAGAAGAGGACGTCTGTGTGGTCGATGATGAATTCCACCACGGCCGACTGCGTCTGCAGTTCCGTGCAGGCAGCTCTCCCGCTGGCGCAGGCAGACTCGCTCTGCTGTGATCTGTAGAAAAGGCAGGTTTTAGAAGTCATTCAGCCAAGATCGCTTCCCCGGGTCTGAACTGTTGCAGCCCAAAGCTGTCAAACTGGGCTCCAGAGACTTCCGCAGTAGGCAATCAGTGATGCCACTGAAAAAGTTCTCCTGGCTGATCAAGGACACACCAGTCCCATCTAAACAAGAGAGCAGCAATGCTCAGCTAGAAATTGTGCCCACGCGGGGTTGGAGAACAGTCCAGGCTCCTGCTCTGCTGTCAGCCACTCACTGCACATTTTACAGGAGAAGAGCACATGTGGTGCAGAAGAAGGGAGGACTGCTTTATTCTACTGGAGAACAGATGTAAGCGTTCTGTTGAAACGGAAAAAGAAGTTTACCTTAGGAGGTTTGGAGCCCACACAATGGCTAAGTTCTTAGCGTGCATGTTGGTGACAGAGCTGTTTGCAGCAAGACAGGCCAAGTGTCTCATCAGGAACACCAGGGTCCTGGGAAACAAGAGAGGCAAATGTTCAGCACCAGCCAGCATGCCGTGCTGCCACTCACAAAGCAAACCTCAATTCACACTAGTTGTTCTTACTGCTACTGATGCTGAAGATGAAGTAGATCCAACTTGACCAAGTGCCACGCTGCAGCACCCAGCACCAGCACAGCACAGCCACAGCCATCAGCTGCACCAAGCCTACCCCCGTGCCCAGGAACTGACCCAATAAATTAACCCTGTAAATTAAACCGGTGCAGCCTTCAACCGCTTCAACATACCCAGGCATCGTGTTGCTCACGTGAGACAAAGCCTGGAATCGCACCATTGCCCTCTGAAGTGCAGCAGGGCTGAGCTCAGCAGGCTGAGGGCAGCACTGACCTGTAGTGAGGAGCGGGCAGCTGCTGGATGACGTCCCGCATTCTGACCAGCCGCTCCTCCTCTGTAGTGGCACCAACAGCATCCTGGAAAAGGGCAGAAAGGGATTGAGACACAAATCAGGCGAGATACCTGCCGCAGGGTCGGGAACCATGGGCACAGCGCGCTGCTGGTCAGCACTGAGAAAGATTTTAGGCCTCCCCAGAGGCATCTGGCAAACATAGCGGCACGCAGCTGGTGCCACCACGGCCAAGGAGTCCAAGCACCGGGCCGGTTTACAGCCTGGTTGGGCAGCTCAGCTCCTCGCAGGGGGCATTCATCTCCAAGTACGCTTGGCTATTAATCCCCTTCCTGTTCCAGAAATAGCTGGGGAATAGCAAAAAACAAACAAACAAACAAACAACACAGGAATTCTCGCAAGCACTGTGAATATGGAAATAACCACCTCCTGGGGCCACCAGAAGCGGCATCAGCACGATGCAGGATGTGGCAAAGACATGCGAGTAAACCCCATGGGGCTAACAGAAGAAGGGCCTCAGAGCTGGGGCACTGCTGCAGCCATCTCCCAAGAGGCCCAGCGAAGAGGGAAAGGAAAGGCGTTGCCTCGTGCTTACCGAGAACTTGTCGTACAGCTGGTCGGTCAGCAGGGGGGTCGGGAGCTCCCTGAAGTACATTTTGCAGAGGGAGCTCGCGCTGTGAACGTCGCGGACGGTTAGCTCAGGAACCTGCTCACACTCAAATTCCTGGCTGCAGAGAAGGACACGAAAGCGGTTGAGAAAGAGGAAAGCAAGTCAAAAGCCACACCCAATGCAATCAAGAGTTGGAAGGGCTTCCTGATGTACAGGAGAACACAAACACTCGGCCACCAGCACCACGTCAGCCGTGCTGGATGGGATGTTCCCAAAGGAGACCTTTTCTCTGTGCTAAGGCATTGCCCGCAGGCCTCTGAACGCCCGCAACAGGGCACGTGCCCCTGCTGGCAGCTGTGTCTGTCAGTCGCAGCACTCTTACCGCAGTCTCTGGACGTTGGACGCCACGCCGGACAGGCGGTATATCCCCTGCACCACGCCATGCTGCTCGATGAACTCGGCGCAGCTCTGGAGGACCTGGGGGACTAAAGAACACGTGCCGGCGGTTACTGGAGCTCCTTAGTCAAGTCCTGCCTCAGGCTGCGCTCCCGTCACATCCCATCCACTAAGCCCAGCCGGGCTTGGCTGAAGCAAATACAAACGTGCTTGTCTCTTGGGAGCATTAGCCTCACTTCATCTTTCAGCCATCAACTCCCATTCCCCGTTTCTCCACTGGTATCAACCTGCCCCTTGCTACATACCATCTCCCTTTCATCGTTAGGTTCTCAAACAGGGAAGCTCTCAGGAATGGGCTGTCCCTTACCATCACGACCAGAGTGAAGAAGATGCTCTCCCAGGTCACGGCCGAACACCCTCTCCTTCTCCACCTCCCGCTCTTTCCGTTGCTTTGGGCGGGCCTTCACCACGGAACGAAGGAAGGTGAGGAGCTTGCCGCGCTTCTTTGGCACTGCACAACAAAAGGAAGAAACCAGTTCATCTCAGGTTTGGCTCCGTTGGACGAGGCCGAGCACAACACATTCTACAGAGCACCTCAAAACGGGAAGAACATGATGAGCAAGTGCGTACCAAAATGGATTTTCCCCAACCCTGGATGAGTCCAAGGCCAGACTGGATGGGGCCCTGGGCAGCCTGGTCCAGTCCCACTTTAAACGTGGAGCTTGGTTGGCAGCCCAGCTTGAGGCAAGGGGGCTTGGAGCTTGATGATCCTCGAGCTCCCTTCCACGCCAAGCCATTCTACAAGGATTCTAGGATTTCCCCAACTCCAGTCATAAAACACAGCAGGACTGGGCCAAATCTCTGCACGTTCTGATGGAGTTGAATGCACTCCTCTTGCTTAGCTTGCTCAACCTGGGCATTAAGGACCCTCTTGAAAAGCCACGTTCTGATCAAGCGTGTCACTAGCACAACCAGACCTCTATCTGTCCACCAGGGACGCTGGCTGTTCTCAGCCTCGTACGGACTTGCCGGAGAACTGCCTTGGCCTTCCCTCATTCTCACTGCCTACAAAACACCAGCCATACGCCCCGTGCTATGCAGGAAGGATTATCAGCACAGAGGATAAGGGGGGAAGGATAAGGGAGGTATTAAACACGGAACACACCCAAAAAAGACTCCATTTTGCTTCCCTGCACCATCAAATGTCTCATCGTACCTGGCTTTGGCACTGAATTGATGAGAGACTCCGGGATTTTTCCGTTAATGAGCTCCACACACTCACCAGGGAAAAATCCAACCTGTAACAAGAGGAAGAAGAGACGTGCAATACTGAAGGCAGCGTTTCTCAGGCCTGAACTGTTCAAACATCACCTTTTCCTCATCACGTGCCTGCCGGATGCTCCGTAAGACAATCCAACCAAAAAATGGCCTGCTTAAAATTAATAATTATTCCAAATTGGCAGGCAAATATCCATAAAACTGTGTATGGAGCGGGGAAAGGACAAGTATGCTATGCACCCCTAAATCTCAAGCGTGCCCGAAGGGAAAGACTTCATACAGAAGCTATATATTATGATAGATTGATGCAGCTAGATCTGAGTTGGCACAGCCTATGAACTTTCTGCTTGCTGACTGAGATGCAGCTGCCATCCCCAGCTCTGAGCTACCCAGCGTTCTGCAGCCAGCAGCAGCAGCAAGCGCGCAGAGGCTCTGTTACCCTGCCTCATCTCAGCTGACAGGCAGCGACTTCCTAAAAGACGCTGACTTCACCTTCTGCATGGGTGCAAGCACAAGTGCTCAGAGACACTGAAACACGTGTCCTAGCTGCTGCATTTCCAAAGGTGCGGTTCAGTGGCCGTGACCTGATGCACGCTGTGAGGGCTCTTCTTTCTAAGTTAACTGAGGAGGCAGTTTCCTACAAAGACCAACTTTCAGCTCTGGCCTAAGCCCACAGCAAAAGGGAAAGTCCTCTGACACCAGCACAAGGAAACCATTTTCCATGTGGAGCCATGCTGTGCAGGCAGGGCAGCTCTAAGCTGAGATTCCTGCCTCGACCGAAGTTGCGCTCTCACGTCTGAAGCTTGGGCCTACCTGAAAGCCGTGCTTGCCTCTCCAGCGGGGGCTCAGCTCCTGAGGCGGCATCTCGATGACGCACACGAGGTCTCCCACCTGCAAGAGATTGCAACGTCAATCCCAGCTTCGGCACGGCTGGGAGGAAAGCGCAGCTCAAATGACTGCATTCTTCTGCACTGCCCAATATCGTCAAGCTTGAGAGCCATTGCACCAGTGCAGCTCTTCAGGCATTTGCAGTCGTACAACTGAACGTGCAAGTAGAAGAGTCACTCCAATACACAACATACAGAATTCAGCTGTTCAGTATGAAATGGTTCTCAGAAGCAGCAGGCTCTTTGCCAAAGGGAGAGCTCCAATTAAACCGCAGGCATAAGTCAGCCAAACAGATCCTGAACAGATCTGCACACTCCATACACTGCTCTGCCATTGCTCAGAGACCAGGCTACCACACTGGGCAGTAGCTCTTGGATCACAAGATTCCAATGCCAAATAGAGCCATAGTTCAGAGATGGCTGAACTCCTCCCTGCATCCAACCCAGTGCAAGTCTAATCTGGAGCCGCACCTTCTGAGCTTCACCTCACCAAACATTCGGAAGGTGTCTGAGAATATTCCTGAGAGCTTCACACGTTATACTCTTCTGTACAGGACAACAAGGAACGCCCTTAACTGCTTACCTCCAAGGAGAGTTCACCCGGTGCCTGGGCAACGTATCTCTTAATAACGTGGGCAGCAGCAATAGCTGGGATATTAAGAGATGACTCCTCACGGACCAGCAGGGGCTTCCCGTTGTTCTCAGCCTGAAACAGAGAGCACAGGCCACGGTGAGGAGCTGAGGGCAAACGAGGAGGATTTCAGGCTGAGGAGCATGTCAGCAGAGAAAGCTGCAGGAAGTGCACTCCGTCCTTATCATGGGCACACAAGAAGGAACGGCAAGGCTAAGAACATGCCCGCAGCAAGGAAAGAAAGCCTTGAAGGCAGCTTTTCAGTGACACCGATAGAGCCGCAAGGATTCGCTCTCTTGAAAAGCAGGAGAGCACATCTGCAGCTCACTCTGCTGGCTCAAGTCAGGGAACAAAGACCAATCAGAGCTCCACACTCTACCTCCATCCGTGTCATGCCAGGCTCACAGCTGATCTCGCTGCACGCGATGCCCATCACAGCAGGCACGACAAGCTGGAATGAAAAGAAACACGCTCATATTTTCTCTCTTCACACACCACACTATTGAGAGACTTCTTCAGAACTACCCTTGGCTATCCTCTGGCACAGGCGGGTGCTCTAGAAGCAACCACTCTGTTCACTCCGTTCAAATGGGACAGCCCATTAGGCAGCATTTGACCAAGCGGCTGTCCCTCTGCTAGCAGATGGGGACTGGCACAAAGCAGCAGATGCATTCGCCCAGGGCGCTCTGACAGCGCAGCAGCAGGGCAGTGAGAGGAATCATTGCTGCAGGTGCATCTGCTCCCCGGCCCCGGCTCCCAGCAGCCTCACCACCGGCACCTGCTGCAGCCCCGCACATCAAGGATTTCCTCTGCTCGCATCTCTGCTGTGCTCCCTACAGCTGCCGCGCACACTCTCACAGGCCAAGCGTGCGTGCTTGTGACCTTGGGTCACGCTGTGCAGCTCAGCACAAACTGGGCCTAGGACTCTTTGCCTAAGGGATTGCTTTCCTTCAGACCAGCTGGTCACAGCACCACACACAGCATCCTCCTGAGGGCGGAGCTGCAGGGGAAGGGAAAAAACCCACACGGGACCAGTGTCCCATCAACGCTGGGTGAGGCTGTGTTACCAAACATGGTGCGACACAGTGCTGGTCAACCACGTGGGGGGACAAAGCGTGGCACGTACCTGGCAGGAGATCAGAACAAGGTAGACAATTCCTTGAACTCGCAGCTGTTTCTTGTCACTTTGCTCTGTGCTTCCACGAGCGAAAGCTGCACCAAGGGAGCGGATAGAGGAGAGAGAAGGAACAGGTCTGTGAGCTTGCACAATGCAGCAAAGATGACAAGGGAAAAGCCACGGGACAAATGCCATCTTTGTGGATCGCTTGGGAATGCAGGTACTGGCTGAAAGTTACGTCTGATGGACAAGAGTAAGCAGTACGAGCTGCTAGGAGCTCCACCAGCCAGCAGTTTTCAACAGCTCACTGCCCACCCGTCCATCCCACGCTGTCTCAGCTTACCTACAAGATGCTGCACAAGACACAAGGGTTGAAACCGAAGGCACTCAGTCGCTGCACAAGGGCAACAAGCGAGCTACTCACGCAGAGCTCAAGCGCTCCAATGAAGGGACGCAGCACGCACTGCTCCTCCCCTCATTCCAGCCTCTTGTGACATCACTAAGGGCCACCAGGCTGCTCCGCCATGACGACAGGGTGGGGAGGCAAGACCATGTCACAGGACCAGAAGATGCCAACACCGCACCCAACATTCTAGAATCAGTGGGCCCTTGGAATTCTACCTCAGCCCAATCCTGCACAAGCTGCCATGCGGTTGTCATGACCACAGCGCAGGACCCAGCGCTTGCTCCTGTGCAGCCTCGTACGGCTGGCCTCAGGCCGTCCCTCTGCAGGGCCTTCCTGCCCTCGGGCAGATGGACATTGCTTCCCAACAGCGTACCTCGCAGCGCAGGGCCTATGTACAATCCACACTGCAGTCCTATCGATCTGTATCAAGCTATCTATACCCAGACACACAGTCACCACTACCATCTTCTTTCTGAGTCTTGAGGTACACCATTCAGCGGTTTCATTGCCATCAAACAACCCCACTGACGGCACACTGCTGACACAACGTCCTTGCTAACACAGCAGCAACTCCTGGCACCGACAGCTCCGGGTACAACAAGCACAGGGCTCTGCGTTGCTTTGGATGCAGTTGCAGCATGGATCTGAGGGCTTTGTGGAAGGGGATATATTGCAAATGGCACCGACGTTTTCAGACCATTTCTCTTTCGGCATGGTCCCAGCACCTGGCATGCTGATCATCATCCTGAATATACATTTTGTCAAAGTTCTACAACTAATGAAATAGTTCCTTACCAAACGCAATCTGATCACTCTTCTGGCCATATTTTGTTCCAGCTACCGCTTCCTGCGGGTGGCACCAATAGCGCTGCATCACCTATAGCTCTCTGCTCTTACAGTTCTCATGCTGTCTGGGCAGTCCTCGTGGCCTCACAACTCTCTCATGCCACACGTGCCACATTCTGAGGCACAGAAGATATATCGCACTACTTCAAAACGCCTTTTTTTTTTTTTTAATACAATGATACTAGGGATAATCATCTGGAGCTAGAGCATTATAAAAAAATTCCCTTTAGTTCAACCATAAGTCTGCCCCATGGACTCCAGAAGAGCTCTAAGAACATGCAGCCTGGACATGGATGGCAGCTACCATAACAGTAAGCAATGAAAAATGAGGTGGTGAGCCATGCTGTGTCATTGCATCTGCGGGCAGGGATTCTCCTTGGACTGAGCAGAGTGCAGATGTCGCCTGAGAAAAGAACTTAGGATCATTCAGGAAAAGCAAATGAGTTGAGTAATTAATTGAAGAAACTCACGTTCTAAAGGTACTTAGAAGGAGAGAGTATTTCCCAACAGAATGGGTTTAACTGTCTATTCCCTGTTTTGCTAGACAGGTCTACTCTGTGTATGCTTAGACTGACCTGAGAGGGCATGCTTCAGCACACCCCACAATTTCCAGTTTCCACATCGTCCAGGCAGCGCAAGTGCGGTGTACGTCTCCCTTGGCACAGACATCAAGCTTTTCTTCCTGTGCAATCAACTAATTATGACGGGGGAAGGGGACAGTACAGGCCTCACAAGAGAAGAGCCTGGCGGAACGATTTTAGAGCTGGGAGTCAGGCAAATGACTCGGCTCAAGTGCACCTATACCAATGCACGCAGCATGAGCAACAAGCAGGAGGAACTGGAAGCCATTGTGCACCAGGCTAACTACGATCTAGCTGCTGTTACTGAAACATGGTGGGACTGCTCCCATGACTGGAGCGTTGAGATTGATGGCTATAAGCTCTGCAGAAGGGATAGACAAGGAAGGAAGCCAGAATATTCATCAATACTGAATTGATCCTGCAATTCAGGAACCTCACAAGCAACCTGAAATAAGCGTCTAAAAAAAAAAAAAAAAAAAAAAAAAAAAAAAAAAGAAAAGAAAAAGGAGAAAAAGGTAATCAGCATACCAGCAGCTGTTCTTCTTCAAACCATGGTTCCCAAGCATACTGCAATTGGACAAGCTATAGCTTATCACATCAAAAGCCATCTAGAAGATTCAGTTATTGGTACTGGCCATGTCGGCATTCGCTCACTGTAAGCATCTGCAGGACAAGTCCATGGACCGAATGACCTTGTGCACCCATCCTTCTGTCTCAGCTGCAAGAATAATCCTCACTCCCAGCCATTTCCAGTTTTCTTTCTTACAAAAGATGAAAGATATAAAGAAGCTCTTCATTCAAAAGTTACTTGATTATACAAACAACTAAATTCCAGCCTGCTTTAATCCAAAGTGCCATCTAGTTTGCATACAGAGAACTAGGGTGCATATAGGAAAGAACGCACGCACACTCTAGTTTTCAATGGCCAGAATATCATAATAAACACATAGAAAAACAGCCTTTACTCTGGAGGCTTGTATGGCAAAGCCAATTGTTTGGACCAGCTCATTAATATACTATATCTAGTTTGTCAATTCCAGCTACGAATTTTATATGTCATTATGATCAATGATTGTGGAAGCCCAAAGGGCAATCTCTCATTTTCAACAGACCTCCTTTTTGACTGAGATGGAATTTATTACATTTAAAATTCATCACTCCTCTTTGTTTGCAACACTGTCCTCTGACAAACTCCTCAACACAATCAGCTCAAGTCTTCTACCTGAATTTCTGGGATGACTGTGACAAGTATTCCTTCACGATGCTCAGATGTGCACCGTCTCCCATGAGCATCTTGCTGGACGCAGCATGCTGCAGCATCTTTGCAACAAACCAAGGTTTCTTCGTTGATCTGCAGTCAGCTGCCCTCCAGCTGCAAGATCCATTAGGTCAAATGCATCCGGTGCCACCATGGCCGGATTCACGTAGCGGTGATAGAGTAAGTTGCCAACAATCAAGGACAAGTTGAGGAGAGAAAAAAACACGTGGAAAACCAATGGCACAGACCTCCACTGACTTTTACTGACACTACTCCGAGTGAGTTCTGACCAATTACTTTCCTGTGAGCTGTGGGCCCCGTTCATCCCAGTCCTTCAGTGAATGAAGACTCCACAGGCAGTCAAGGCGTTGAGTGAGTATAAGTGCGCTTTTATTATTAAAGGAAAACACAGGAGGGCGTGAGAGGTCCAGGTAAAGATGGAAATCGTCCTCTCTTGGATGGAAAGATCACGTAGAGAGTGGCTCAGCGCTGTCAGAGATGCTGCACGGTGCCTGGGACTGGAGGCCTGATTGTACGCCCCCCTCCAAGAGGCTCTGCTGCTCCTCCTCGCTGATGCTGACCTGCTCCTGCACAGAGGTGTTGCTGTCGGGGCACTCGGATTGTACTTGGGCTGGGCTGCACTGCAAAGGTGCCGGGTCACAGTCCAGGCTGGTGACTGCGGTGCCTGGTGGGCACAGGTCAGCATCTTCAGCACAGCCGGGAGAAATGAGGGCTTCAACTTGGATGAGCTCCCTCTCTCCATCACTGTTGCTACGTGCAAGGCTGTCGCGTGATCCGCAGCCATTTGTGCTTCCCAAGAGCTCTCCATTGGTGGAAGCACACAGCCCAGCTTCGCTACTTTCTCCGGCTCTTCTGGGTGGACAAGGGCTCAGTTCATCTAGGAAGGATACACAGGGGTTAGTGCCAAACTTTCACAAGCTGAATTACAAAAGGGGTTCTTGATCAGGGGAGAACTAAAGGTGTTAGGTATGGGTTGGAACGCTGGAAGTAGATACAAGCCCACTGACAGCAAGAATTCTATGTTGCTGAAAAGCAAGGCGTTGAAAGCTGGATTTGCACCCTTACCTGCCAGCACTACGATTTCTATTTCCGAGGGCTCCCTGGGATGGTGCTGTGGCTGGCGTTTGGCCCCAGACGATGGTTTCCCCAGGCTGAAGCAGGAACACCAACAGCCAGCTGGTGATTCCTTTATCTTGCTGGGTGGACTTGGTCTGGAGAGAGAAAACAGGGAATGGTGGGAGTCGTGCGTGGCGCAGGGTGAGGGAAGAGCTGCACTGAGCTCGTGCCAACAGTTGCTTGTTCCTAGCACCGCCTGGTTCCTGCTGAAACACAGCTTAGAAACTCGCTCCATTTCAAGCAGTTGAGGATGGTTCCATTCCTATAGCTCAGCCCTGAAGTCTTGCTGGCTAAATTCCCCTCAACTGTGTCAAGCAAGATGCAGAGCATGTGAGGTCCACAGGCTCCACACCTGTACAGGACAGCATCAAAGGGTGGCTTTGATTGAGTAGGCAGGCATAACTGCTGGCTGAGCAATTGCACAGCCATAAAGGAACTTCAAAAGCATCTCTGACTCTGACACTGACAGCTCATCAGCCCATTTCACTGCCATGTCTAGTTTCTAGTGTCAGCAGGTCTGACCAACAGCTCTGCGTAGAGGAGAACCAGAACTGGATTCAGGCACGAGGCTCTGAAATCTGGAAAACCCCAACCTTTCCAGGTACAGCCAGCACAGGCCAGGGTAGACGTCAGCGTGGCTTTGTGCATCTCGTCACTGCCTGCCCAGCAAGGAAGGAACGGCACCGTTGTGAGGCTAAACTGAGCCCGGCGGGCAACTCAATGTTAGTTGAATCTCACAGTCCAAAGGGAGGGGAGATTCACTGCAACACTTCAGGCACCATTCATTAAATCTAATTTCCACAAGTTTAGGCACTAGAAATAATGGAGACAGAACAAACACAACCCACCCAAACAGTGATGATAGCTGCTGGAAAACAAAGTCCTCTTTACCTTTCAGGTGGAAAGTCGATGACTGTGTGGAATTTCCCCCGTACAGCTGTGGGGCCTTCTTCCACCTCTATGTCACTGCTCTCTGTCACAACGACAGGAGAGCTGCTGTGGCCTCGCCTCCGTGCCTGCGCCTCCTCCAGGCTGAGCAGCTCTGTGGCAGGAGAAGACGCCTGCACAGACTGGGGCCCTGAGAGAGAACTGTGCCCTGGAAGGGAAAACCACAGGTGAGAGCCAGGATCAGAAAGCAGCAGCACAGCCATCCCAGGTCTGGGGGAGCTGCTGTGTTTTCCTCAGACTTGCTTAACCGAGCCGCTGCAAGAAGAGCAGCTCAAAACAACCATGTGCTCAGAGGTGTGTCTATGGCAAAGGACGCAGTCATCATTAAGAGCAGCTCCCTGTATCGAAACAGGCAAACAAAAACCCTAGAAAATGGGGGCAGGGAACTGAGAAAGCTCCGCTGCCACACGTTAATCAAGCTTCACCTGCTTGCAAAACATCATAATGACAGTGATGGTTTTTTCTCCTTGTCAAGTTTGGGCTTGCACATTCTCAGCATCCAGCAACTGGATGCCAGATTCCAATCTAAGCCCAGAAGTCTGCTGTTCCCTCGACAGGAAAAGTGTATTTCAAATGACTTGGAAAAGGCCTGCATTTGATCCAGGTATCTGACCAAGATAAAGCTAATGGAGGAAGACACTCACCTGCTCCATCTGCAATGTCCGATCCGGATGTGGAGCAGAAGAGGACGTCTGTGTGGTCGATGATGAATTCCACCACAGCCGACTGCGTCTGCAGTTCCGTGCAGGCAGCTCTCCCGCTGGCGCAGGCAGACTCGCTCTGCTGTGATCTGTAGAAAAGGCAGGTTTTAGAAGTCATTCAGCCAAGATCGCCTCCCCAGGTCTGAATTACTGCAGCCCAAAGCTGTCACATTTGTTCTCAGGAGACTTCTGCAGCGGGCATATAAGAGATGCCACTGAAGAAGTTCGCCTGTCTGATCAAGGACACACCAGTTCCATCTAAACAAGAGAGCAGCAATGCTCAGCTAGAAATTGTGCCCACGCGGGGTTGGAGAACAGTCCAGGCTCCTGCTCTGCTGTCAGCCACTCACTGCACATTTTACAGGAGAAGAGCACATGTGGTGCAGAAGAAGGGAGGACTGCTTTATTCTACTGGAGAACAGATGTAAGCGTTCTGGTGAAACGGAAAAAGAAGTTTACCTTAGGAGGTTTGGAGCCCACACAATGGCTAAGTTCTTAGCGTGCATGTTGGTGACAGAGCTGTTTGCAGCAAGACAGGCCAAGTGTCTCATCAGATACGCCAGGGTCCTGGGAAACAAGAGAGGCAAATGTTCAGCACCAGCCAGCATGCCGTGCTGCCACTCACAAAGCAAACCTCAATTCACACTAGTTGTTATTACTGCTACTGATGCTGAAGATGAAGTAGACCCAACTTGACCAAGTGCCACGCTGCAGCACCCAGCACCAGCACAGCACAGCCAGAGCCATCAGCTGCACCAAGCGTGCCCCCGTGCCCAGGACCTGACCCAATAAATTAACCCTGTAAATTAAACCCGTGTAGCCTTGAACCGCTTCAACATACCCAGGCATCGTGTTGCTCACGTGAGACAAAGCCTGGAATCGCACCATTGCCCTCTGAAGTGCAGCAGGGCTGAGCTCAGCAGGCTGAGGGCAGCACTGACCTGTAGTGAGGAGCGGGCAGCTGCTGGATGACGTCCCGCATTCTGACCAGCCGCTCCTCCTCCGTAGTGGCACCAACAGCATCCTGGAAAAGGGCAGAAAGGGATTGAGACACAAATCAGGCGAGATACCTGCCGCAGGGTCGGGAACCATGGGCACAGCGCGCTGCTGGTCAGCACTGAGAAAGATTTTAGGCCTCCCCAGAGGCATCTGGCAAACATAGCGGCACGCAGCTGGTGCCACCAAGGCCAAGGAGTCCAAGCACCGGGCCGGTTTACAGCCTGGTTGGGCAGCTCAGCTCCTCGCAGGGGGCATTCATCTCCAAGTACGCTTGGCTATTAATCCCCTTCCTGTTCCAGAAATAGCTGGGGAATAGCAAAAAACAAACAAACAAACAAACAAGACAGGAATTCTCGCAAGCACTGTGAATATGGAAATAACCACCTCCTGGGGCTACCAGAAGCGGCATCAGCACGATGCAGGATGTGGCAAAGACATGCGAGTAAACCCCATGGGGCTAACAGAAGAAGGGCCTCAGAGCCGGGGCACTGCTGCAGCCATCTCCCAAGAGGCCCAGCGAAGAGGGAAAGGAAAGGCGTTGCCTCGTGCTTACCGAGAACTTGTCGTACAGCTGGTCGGTCAGCAGGGGGGTCGGGAGCTCCCTGAAGTACATTTTGCAGAGGGAGCTCGCGCTGTGAACATCGCGGACGGTTAGCTCAGGAACCTGCTCACACTCAAATTCCTGGCTGCAGAGAAGGACACGAAAGCGGTTGAGAAAGAGGAAAGCAAGTCAAAAGCCACACCCAATGCAATCAAGAGTTGGAAGGGCTTCCTGATCTACAGGAGAACACAAACACTTGGCCACCAGCACCACGTCAGCCGTGCTGGATGGGATGTTCCCAAAGGAGTC